AACCTTCAGTACTTTGAGCCCCATCTATGTGATATAATCTGAATCAAAACTGAATTTTTTTATGCCAGTCACACAACGTGTTCCGATCCATCAAGCTCTGATCCATTACCCGAAAAATAGACGAGGTCAGAACTCTTCTTCGGCAGTGTAACCGGGTTTATTGAAAATAAACGTTTAAGGTGAAACGAGAAAGCGTCTTCACCGGAGCACCTACAAAATTACAGTTTCCTATTTTTTGACAGCATGCCTCCTGCTACCCACAATGCTTAACGTAACTCTAAATTTTTTAACCCCGTGCTAACTCAAACCAATTTCAAACTCGAGATTTCACTGCAACTGCAATGATTGGAGCTATTTTCGGAGATAAGAAGTCTTCATTCCAAGTCAGCTCCAAAGCTTTTGCAGGCATCCTACTCATTGTTAATGTGTGATTTGAAAAAGTGTCACAAAAAACTGCTGGGTGGCTAATGGGCTGCACCGAGGAGTGCTTAAACCAATTTTAAACTCGAGATCTCACTGCAACTGCAATGATTGGAGCTATTTTCGGAGATAAGAAGTCTTCATTCAAAGTCAGCTCCAAAGCTTTTGCAGGCATCCTACTCATTGTTGATGTGTGATTTGAAAACGTGTGACAAAAAAACTGCTGGGTGGCTAATGGGCTGCACCGAGGAGTGCTGTCGTTCCATATGGTTATAAGTTCATACCTGTCTGTGGTCCTTAATTTACTAACCAGCTTATTGATTAACAGTCTGGTCAACTGACCAGCTGGGTAGTTGGCCAGTTCGCTGCGAGATTAAATTGATTAGCTAAACTGTAGCTGAATGACAGATGGGCTAACTATCTGCCTGACTGTCTGGCAGACTGTCCATCTGACCAATGGGTATGGTTAAAGACTAACTGATTTGTATTATCGCTGCCTTAATCAAGGTGCCGATTACACCTGATTGACTGACTATCGGGTCGGTAAATCAAGTAGCCAACGGATCGATGAATAAATTGGTATTAAGCGTGCTTTTTCCCTTTGCCTCAGACATTTGACATTACCAGTACTATGGACACAGCGAGGGCTACAGAAAAATAAGAAGATTCAAGGAAAAGGAAAAAATAACTCTTGAGTAGGAATCTATATGTATTGTCTGTGGTAATATTTTAGTCACAAAAATATGATTTTAATTTCGTTATCTTTAATCGGTTTGATGTTTACATTAGTTAATAAGCTTCTTGTCTGAACTCTTCATCACTTGGTTACGTAGGTAGGATACCTGAGTAGGCATGTAGCGGCAGGCCATATTCGTTTCGTTTTGCTATGGATGTAACATGTATGTCTACTTGATATTCTAAGTCTGTTACTTTTAGCATGTTTCTGTACACCATAGTTCTTAGAAGACATTCAAACCTGATGGATAAAGGGGAAACACAACGATATCACGGGTGCAGCCAGGTTAAAGTCCTGTATGGTTAGGCCTACAATTTTTCTTTCGCCTGTTTTACTCTTAAAATAGAACTCTCGCAAATTTTAAAACAAAAATTGAACGTTCTCATGGTGGAGGCCCACGACAAGACGAAAAGCTGGTTACGCTCCTGATATAATAAGACATTTTAGTCTGCATGCTCCTCTAGTCTGTATGCTGAACTACCTATTTACGTTATTCCTTATTATCAACAATAATATAGCTTAGTAAATGTTATGGTTAGAAATGCTCCACCGGTTTTAAAACTAATGTTTAGCTCATTACCATGGTAATTTTTTAGCTTGTTCGGAGCTTGTTCTTAGTTTAAAAGGAATTCGATGTCCTGAATAAATTCCTTCCCCGCTGCTATCTCAGTTTTTCCCAAAACAGCGATTTGATAATAGGAGATACATCATAGCTGATCGAAGCAAATGTTTAAT